CCCAACTACCCCATTTGTAACCATCCTCCAACAGAAGACACCAGCAACAGAGAACTGGTTCTATGCATTCCATTAAGAGTAGAACTTTCTCCCTAACAGGGATCCAAAGCAGCTAACATGATTCTCCTCTCCTCTATTTTATCCTCACAACAACTCTATAAGGTAGGCTAGGCTGAGTACGTGTGACTGGGCCAAGGCCACTTCCATGGCAGAGTGGGGATTTGAGCCTGGGTCTCCCAGATCCTAGTCCAACACTCTGACCACTACACCACACTGCCTTTTACAGGAGACTATAAAATTCTCATCAGAAGAACACAGTATCTAACAAGCACAGATTTATATCTTAGTTTACCTGATCCTGTTGAGGTGAAGGGCCGACTGCCACATTTGTGATCAGATAGGCGCAGCTTATTCATATTCAGCAACTGTGTGATTTGTGGCACATCTGAATTTAACTGACAGGCTCGTGGAATTGTATCTGTTGGCCCATCAACTGTGAATGAGACAGCAATACAAGCTTGAGTAAAAAGGCAAGGATTTTTCTTTTCTGCAACAGCTAACAGAAACAATGTAGCCTACAAGGTAACGGCCTGCATCTCACAGGTGCTCTTTCTCTGTACACACTCAAATGCATGCACACAAACACACACCGCGAAATTCATGTTCATGCTTTTCAAAGCTCCTAGCCCCCGATTACAAAACAGAAATGAAAAAAATGAACAGGTGGTATGCGTTTTATCAAACTCTCAAAAAACGAGAGAGTAAATAAAACAATGCCAAACATTTATTTAATTTGGAACCAGGTCCCTGTACAGCTCAAAAAACCCAGAGACCGGGGCCAAGGACAGATACATGGTATTGTTTTCTAACAGACCCAGGGGACTGTCCCCCAGATTTGCAGAAAAATACATTAAAAAATTAAAATGTAAGGTTTGGTAGAAAAGACAGTTCTCACAACACTATATTGCAAGATATTGGTCGCCACTTTAGGGAAGAGAGGGGCAGCCACCTGCTACTACATGAGCCAGGAAGGAAGAGAAATGGGTGTGGGAGGAGGAGTATGAGCTGCCTGTTCCCCCTACATTGCCATCACAAGCTGGGCAGAGTGAGAGCCAATACCACTCCCATCCATTCTTGCAGTAAGGTGGGTACATGGCAAGTGGTGGAAGAACAAGAGATACCATCGGGCCCCCTCTCCAGCTGGTGGGCAGATGAGGAAGAGGAGGAGCCCCACCCCCCATGAGCAGCCAATTCAGCAAGCTGAGGGGGCAGGACAGGTTACCCCACCAATCCCACAGTTCCCCAACTTATCTATATATCTAATAGCTAAGTTGCCTCCTCCATGCGGATATCTAAATCTGCACATCAGGGCACTTGGGGGGCAGGGAGATTTTCCTGCACACTTGGGGCAGTCCCCAGGTGTGCAGAAAAATCTAAAGAGTTTTAAAAACTGTACGGGGTATATTTAAATCCCAAAAAATAGCACTCTCTGCGCATGCGCAGAGAACGCTCTGGGAACTCTGCGGCAGACCAGCAGCTGGGAGGCACTCAGGCTTCGCCGCCGGTGCCAGCGGGGGAATTGTCGGGGGGGAGATCGTCAGGCCCGGCGGCTGGGAGGCACTCAGGCCTCGCCGCCGGTGCCCGGGGGGGGGAATCAGCAGGCCGGGGGGGGGAAATGCTTACCTACGGAGCTGCTTCTGCAGACCAGGAGCCTTTAGGAATACTCCCACCCCCGCGAGTATTGCGGGTCCCGCTTCGTGTCTATTCTATTTCCAAAACTTATGATCCCTGGATCTATGCCATCATTTTAAAACCAGGAACTAGCAGTACTAGGCGGATCTTTATAACCTCATATGAACCCAGAAACATAGCCCCTCCCCCAATAGATCAGACAAATGGCCCATCAGAAGGTCTTGGTTTCCAAGAAAAATGTCAAGAGTTTAGCATTCTAGAAACAGCCTCCTGATGTTGAATAATACCACAAGGACCTAAGCTGTGCTTTTAATTTCTTCATCATAGGAGAAAGCTATTACCATGAAATCAGTATGACTCATCTCAGTTAACTGATCCTCCTCTGCCAAGCATCTTAGCAAACATTCAGCAGCATCCTAAAAAGAGTGCACAAAATGATTGGCCCAGGGGGGGGGGGGGGGGCAAGGTAAAGGTTCCCTGCATAAGTGGAGCAAACAAATGCCAGATGTGGGCTATAGCTGAACTTCTTCTTGTTCTGGTGATCTGGCCATCCTTGACACACGGGAGTACTGAAAGGAAAGTCTTTAGAGTGGGTTGAACAAGACAGTAATCTGACTCCTCCTGGCCCCATAAATACACAACTTGTAATCACACACAGTTATATCTTCCGTAGAAGGCATAATTGCAGATGGATGATTGCTGTTAACAGTAACTTACTGTTAAAATAATCTGCGTGTGGGGGTGAGAATTAATTAGATTTCAGGGTGGAGAGGTTTTTCAATTAAAATATACTCAACAATTAACTGCTCTCACAATTTAGATCATGGAGATTTCTCTAAAGTATCCAGTACAGCATCAGGGTACATTGGATTCCATTTCTAAACTGCTGTACTTAAGAGAACACTGTAGAATTTGAAACTTTGGCCCAGTTCTTATGTTGCCCAAGCAACAGCCCACATCACAGGTTCTCCCGACTCTAGTATCAACCTAACTCCAACATGGGAAGGAAGCAAAGCATGAGATTCTTTCATATGGTCCAGGGTGCCTCATGTTACCTAGGGGTATGGCACTGTAACAGGTCCCATGCCATCATACAACTGTGACTTCTGGGTCCTTTTCATTTGCAAATTTCAACTAAACTAAGTGCTGTAATTCTGGGTTGTGCTGTTTTTAATGCATATCTGAGGGTTTTGTCCCGATACTGCAAAACTAGCCACCCATAAATGCATTCCACATTATTTGACAAAACCAGTTCCCAGGGCAATGTTGATATCAATAATAGAGAAGCAAACAATTGCACAGAACAAAAAAACAACTCCCAACAGGAGAACGGGAGAGAGAGGCCAGGAGTTGCACTGTCGGGGTACACCAGACATTTTTTTTAATTGGAAGGGCATATCAGCTTCTTAGTTTAATATGAAATGAAAAAGCTGAAACAATATGTGAAGACGCAGCTCTGCCTCCAGAGAAATATCTAAAGAGCTTTGCAGAGAGAAATCTACTTATCCACCTGATTCCCAATTCCATGGATCTCCCCTAAAGGCTCAGCCTTACTGCTCTAATCCAGATTAAAGTGAATAAAACCCTTCCAACTTCAATGTGAGATAATTAGCCTGCACTGTTTCACAAATGTGACCAATTTCTGTTGCCTTCTTTTGTAAAATTGTCCACTGATAACTGCTTTCTCCTGTACTTCCATTTCTGAACACGCATTTAGGAAGGCACAGGATTGGGTCCTTGGTAAGCACTATTACGGTATGCAAAGATCACATGTCTTTTGTTTTGCACCAGTGTGTATGCATTTGTGTTTTCCTTAGGTACCAAAGTAATTTGAAACAACCTCTTCATCACCTCATGCCTTGCCAAACGTTTCCACCCAAGTAATAAGGGCCTGGTTCAATGGGAAAGGCTGTAGCACAACCCCTATTGAAACATGAGAGTTAAACCAAGAGCAGGAGGGGTTCCTAGTGGACTGTGTACTTTGCCTAATCAAGTCAAAATAACTCAGTCCACAGCTCCTACCAGAACTATGCTAATTTACTCCAGACATGAAAAGAAGAAAACCAAGCCACTCGGTTCCAGTATGTATGCAACATCTAATTCAAAGGAAAATGTAAATTTTGGAAACAAACATTTAGGAATTTGTAATGCAATGTTTGATAGATTAACAAAGCGTAAATTTCAGGTAATTGTGAAACATCTCACTAGATTATTCCTATCATTAGTGGATGAAAACAAAACATAGTAACTACCAGCCAGATAAGTTGTTGCAACCCATCATTAACATCACACCAAAAATATCACTACATTCCGCTTCCTATGTTACCTGCTAATTAGTTCAGCCTTGCAACACTAACATGTTCATGCCTCATTTAAATCAGTGGTCTTCAACATAGGCCGAAGCCTCAGGTGGGTTGCAAACCCCCAACTGGGATGCCCTTACAATTCTCTGGGGATGGACACCTTGACAGAATACCCTATGAAAAATAGGTATCAGGATCTCGGAAAGTTACTGAGCATCGTTAAAGGGAAGAGATACTCTTCACAACCACAACAGTTTATAACCTGTTCGTAATCTATGCATTTTCTCTCTAGCTTAATATTGCAATTTCTAGTCCTATATTCTGTATAGTACACGTATGCAGGAAAACGCCGCCATCCTGTCAATCTAAGTAGAAAGCAATGCCAATTCTCTTTTGCCTTCAGCTGGTACAGCCCCCTGTTCAGCTGTCACCCTCGTGAAAGCCACTCAATAAACATTTCAATATGACAGACTTCCTTCCAGACTGACATATAACAAATCAACTAGCTAATGGATGGTGAAAGACTGCCTGCACAGATGGCACAGCTCTGCTGAACAAAATACTGGTCCTTGGAAAAAAGCTTACACATTCAAATCACCTGGAGAGAATAAACACAAAATTAAAATGCCATCTCCAAGGTGCCTTTTCTAAAAACAACCACCACCACCACAATATACTGGGATCAAAATTATGGGACTTTAGTCCAGGGCTTAGAAAACATGTTCTGCTTAAATCGAGATACACTGGCTCACTAGGAAGAGCACCCAAAACTGACCACCTGTTTCAAGGAAGACTGTAACTGCAAGCAATCAGTACCTAAGGGACCACACTCTTCCACTGTTGGCCATTGTCAGTGACAGTTCCCTGAGGTCAAGCGAAGCCCTACTCCTCTGCACACCCAAGCAGCTAAAATAACAAAGCATTTGGAGAGGTTCACTGCCATGTGCCTTCTCCAACAGATCGGTCACAGTTATCCTTCTGAATTGGAACGATTTCCTCTCACTCAAGAAATGTCTATGTATTTGAACATCTTCACTATTGTGATCTATTGTCACAAACAGGGCCAGTGTATCTGAAGCAAGAGCACAAATGTAGGAAGCGGCTCTGTAAACTTTCTGAAAGACAAGCTACAAATTGGGTGTGCGATGGGACTAGGTTCAAGGTGAAGTTTACAGAAAGGTAGAATCAGAAGGAAGGAAAAACAATATAATTTAAATACTGGCCTATAAAAGGTACCAAATCCCACCTTACAGTCTCCCACAGGAAAACCTCTGGAATATAGACCCAGAAGAAGAGAGAAATCACAAAGATCTCCAGATGACTAAAGCAAAAAAGCAGCAGCAAATCAACAGAAAGACAAAAAAGAATGCAAGGCAAGTGGACTCAGAGGTCAGGCAAATTAGCAGGCTATATTAGCAGTTAGACCCCTCCTCCTGCAGAAGGGCACTTTAGCGCATAGACAAAGAGGCATAAACACCCTTCATATAATAGCACCTCA